CAATAAATTTCTTAAGTACCAATTTTGCACTCCACTTTCTTTGCAAACGCCAAAATGAATAATTCATATTTTTGCAAGATTTATTCGCCCGTGTCTCCTGAAACAACTTATCATTTTTATTTTAGTCTACAGGTTAAAAGTACAACGGCTAATGTGACATTTTCCAAGAAAATTCCGTCAAAAAACGATTTATATACATTTTTTTAAATTAAGGACTATTAAACTGGCTTCTATCCCATTATAAAATAAACTAATAACGTCAACTCTAGAGATTGACCAAACCATGTTGTCACAAAGAAATTTGGCGGCATCTGATGCCAAAATTGGAATCCTCCAACATCGAATATTTTCAGGTGAAAATAATTAGCTTTTCTTCATAATTGATGTAAAAACTTAGAACATTTCTTTTTTCATACAAAGTTACCTATAATATCATTTTTCCTAAACTATTGCCTATTCTTCAAGACTTGTAGTTCATGCTATTTTACAAATGAAGAACGTACGCTAAAAACATGACTTCTCAAATTAATCACTTCGTGAATTTAGTCGCGTTTAACTGTGTCATAAGCAAATATACCTAACAATAACGGTATAAGTTTCATATTACAATGATATCTTCTCTGTTAAAACCCATACCGTAAAGCGAGGGGCCTTTATTTTAATCGTAAAATTTAGAAATGTGCCCTGAATATTTTATCACGCACTTACTGCAATTTATAACAGCGCTACTTGATTTTATTGTTACCACTTATTTACAGAATCCCGTAAATGTGATATAGAAACGCAAACATTGCTTTATGAGCAATTCTCGATTATCAAATTGGCTCGTATACGTAGAGAAAAACGACCAGGGACCCAATTCTCGCGGCGTAGATATTATATCGGCTTCGAGATAATATCGAAAGTAGGGATATCTATTGAAAATATCTACTGATGGTAAAAAATGCTATTCTCGTGGATTTTCGATATTCCAATGATATTATATCTATCGTAGATATTCTTTCACTGACGAAAGCGTTCCGTTTTTCTCGATTAAGTTAATATCATAGTCTATATAAAATAATAATAAATTAGAGCAGAATTTTACAAGCAACAAAATGATATTTTATATTTTATGAATTCCATTCATATTAAATATGAGTATACATTTTTTGAGTATAAGAAATCTCAACTTTACCTAAATTGTATGCGTTTAAAATTTCAACGTTATGTATAATGAAACGTCAATATTATTTAAAATTCTCCCTTTTCAGGGAAGGCAAAGGGAACAATGCCCATACAGCCTAATCTTTAGTTATAGTCTTCTTTTTTTTACATTAGAATGTCAGTGTGATGCATTCTAATGTTTCTTGGAGTGTTTGGCACGAAATTTATGACGCTGGCTTTTACTCTAAGCTTCTGTGAGGTAGTCAACACTACAATAAAGTTCTCGCGTCCACTTGACCGGAATAGCGTATATTTTAAAGATTCCACTAATTCTTCAGTTGCGCAGACGGTTGTAACACCAAATCACACCAATTTTATTTCACAATATCCACTATGAACGAATTTTAGAATAATTAAAATAAGACGCCAACCGCTCTCGCAGAAATAAAAAACTTCGTATCGTCAATAAGAAAATGGTGTCGATTCTGGCATGATTCTCTAAACCTAAACGTAAATTTGACAACAGTGTATCCTTGTCATTCTCCATACAGAATGAAAACGAGAGACTGATGTTAAATTTAGTTTTAAGTTTAGAGAATCGTGTCAGAATCGATACCGTCAATCATAACTTTAAAGATTTCTAACGAAATTTTTGTTTAAACGTAATTTTTTTATGAAGTCCGCGTCCCTCATTTCAAATGGGCCCTCTTGCTCGCACAACGGCGGCGCCTTAGCACAGCAGCAGCAATCACGTAATTTATTAAATTATTGACGAAAACATGAATCAACTCATCCATCGTTAATATAAACCGGTGTCGATTCTGGCACGATTCTCTAAATCTAAACTTAAACTTGACAACAGTGTTTCCTTGTCATTCTCTATACAGAATGAAAAAGAGAGACTGATAATAAATTTAGTTTTAAGTTTAGAGAATCACGCCAGAATCGACACCATTGTTTACCTACTTCTTTATTTACTAATTATTTATGAAGGCAGTTAACAACATCTTGAGGTAACAATAACTGGCAAAGACACACGACAACACAATAAATAATAGGTAAAAAAAGTGGAAATAACAAGATTGACATGCCAAGATCCATAGATATTTATATATCGAAGGCTCTTTACCAGTCGATGTATGTCTACTGATCATCCATAGATAAATATCTATTGCGACATGGTGAGAATAGGGCAAAAAGGTTTTCCTTCGATAAAAGCCAGATCATTCGATATATATCGAAGGTGATATAATATCTATGCCGCGAGAATTGGGCCCCAGCTCGTATATCTATAACATGCCAACCCTGAAATGGAATTACACATTCCAATGAATTATTTTTTAAATTATCATGAATCATCTTTTTATCATACTGTAACCTAATCAAACTGAAAAAAAAACGAATTCTTTGCAACCAAGAGTTGCAATTTGGACTTAGTCATCGTAAATAGGTAGGTAGTGAAAGTTTAACAGACATGATAAATTTCGAATATATAAAACTAGCGGCCACCCGCGGCTTCGTCCGCGTTGACTTTTGTTTTTTTGAAAATCTCAGGGGGACCTAAAATTTTTTCGGGATAAAATATATCCTATCCTATGTCTCAAATCCATGTCATAAACTATTTGGTATCAAATTTCATCTAAATCCATTCAGTAGTTATTGGGTTACTAAGTAACAAACATACAAACTTTCCCATTTATAATATTATAGTAGGATTGGATATATTAGGATTAGAACAAATTAGCATGAATAAATAGCTCTTTTTACGTGCAGAAAACATTATTGCCTTAATATCTCAATTTAATCTTTTACCGGTTAAGTCAACGACGATTTGGTATGGAAAATGTTAGGTTACTGTGGGATTCTCAAAATACTAAAGTTTATGCGGGCGAAATCGCGGGCGGTCGCTAGCGTGAAATAGATTACTACCTACTGTACTGAAGTACTAATTAAATAATTTTACCACTACAGAGCTAAATTTTTGCATTAATATGAAATATCTACCTACCTGTCGAAGTAATAAATTTCAGGTCAGGCGAGGACAGATGTGGTAGGGCGTAGTGCGCAGGTTGCGGTGCGCGGGTGCGGACTGCGAGCAAATTATTTCACCAGTAGAAAGCTACATAATTCGTCAATATAAAATGGATTTCATATCTACCTGTCAAAGTAATAGGCTTTCAGGTCAGGCCGGGAAAGGTACGAGAGAGCATGATGCTCGGGTGCAGCTGGAACGGGGTGCGGCGACGACGACGGCGAGGCAATTCTTTCTCCATAACAAGTTGGATTTTTAAGTACCATTTGAAGTAACAGGCTTCAAGTCAGATGGTAAGAGTTGCGTCGTAGAGCGTGAGTTAAGGCGTGTGCGCAATTGGCGCGCGGTGCGGTGTCGTCGGCGGAGAAACAAATTCTTTCTTCAGTAATCTACTACTAGAAAGCAAAATTATTGCATTTCTTTATGTTAAACGGGCGGCAAGCAAGCGTATGGCCCAGTACTGTTGCCTACCCAATCCCTTACCCCGAAGAAGCCTGGAACCTTACTCACCGACCGAAACACAACACCACCGAAAGGTCTTCTATAAGGTCCCCAGACGGGCGGTCCAATTCGATCTGCAAATCTGCTATGTCCTTCCTCTCTTAATTAAAAAAATAATTAAGCATCTATATGATATATGTACCTGTTGAAGTAATAGACTTCAGATCAGACGGTGATAGGTGTGGCAGGGCGTGGAACGCAGGTTGCGGCGAGGGCGTGGTTGCAGGGTGGGGCGAGGACGACAGCGACGAGGTCTTGTCCCAATTGCCCTTCGCCTTCACTGGCGCCTCGCCCGCCTTCTGCTGCGCTAACCACACCTGTAGAGCGTGGGTTGCGACCCAAGCGCACCGGGCGTGCAATGCGGTGACGTCGGCGGCGAGTAAATTACTTCTCCAGTAGAAAGCTAAATTATTGCATCGATATGATATTATGTACCTGTCGAAGTAATGGGCTTCAGGTCAGGTGGTGATAGGTGTGGCAGGGCGTGGTGCGCAGGTTGCGGCGAGGGCGTGGTTGTCGCAGGGTGGGGCGAGGACGCCAGCGACGAGGTCTTGTCCCGATTGCCCTTCGCCTTCACTGGCGCCTCACCCGCCTTCTGCTGTGCTTACCATTTCTGTAGAGCGTGGGTTGCGGCTCAAGCGCACCGGGCGCGCAATGAGGTGACGTCGGCGGCGAGTAAATTACTTCTCCAGTAGAAAGCTAAATTATTGCATCGATATGATATTATGTACCTGTCGAAGTAATGGGCTTCAGGTCAGGTGGTGATAGGTGTGGCAGGGCGTGGTGCGCAGGTTGCGGCGAGGGCGTGGTTGTCGCAGGGTGGGGCGAGGACGCCAGCGACGAGGTCTTGTCCCGATTGCCCTTCGCCTTCACTGGCGCCTCACCCGCCTTCTGCTGTGCTTACCATTTCTGTAAAGCTTGGGTTGCGGCTCAAGCGCACCGGGCGCGCAATGAGGTGACGTCGGCGGCGAGTAAATTACTTCTCCAGTAGAAAGCTAAATTATTGCATCGATATGATATTATGAACCTGTCGAAGTAATGGGCTTCAGGTCAGGTGGTGATAGGTGTGGCAGGGCGTGGTGCGCAGGTTGCGGCGAGGGCGTGGTTGTCGCAGGGTGGGGCGAGGACGCCAGCGACGAGGTCTTGTCTCGATTGCCCTTCGCCTTCACTGGCGCCTCACCCGCCTTCTGCTGTGCTTACCATTTCTGTAGAGCGTGGGTTGCGGCCCAAGCGCACCGGGCGCGCAATGCGGTGACGTCGGCGGCGAGTATTACTTCTCCAGTAGAAAGCTAAATTATTGCATCGATATGATATTATGTACCTGTCGAAGTAATGGGCTTCAGGTCAGGTGGTGATAGGTGTGGCAGGGCGTGGTGCGCAGGTTGCGGCGCGGGCGCAGTTGGTGCAGGGTGGGGTGACGACGACGGCGACGAGGTCTTGTCCCGCTTGCCCTCCGCCTTCACTGGCGCCTCGCCCGCCTTCTGCTGCGCCAACCGCTCCTGCTTGCGGAACTTTGCGCGCCGATTTTGAAACCAAACCTGGAAATGTAGAATTGCCATTATAAAGAGGAATGATGACTGGTTGAAGCATATTGACGTTAAGTTACTCTTTCACTAAACTGTGACAAGAGTAATGACAATCGTCCAGAAATGTAATATTAGTGTCTCATTGTTTGTTACTGTTTTGTAATAATGTTATTAACAATGAAGTGTTTCAGAAATACAGAATTATATTATAATTATCTCTTACACGGATTTTTTTTCTTTCACATTTAATGAAAAACTGTTTATATATGGACAATAGTAGAAATTAGGAAAATATGTGAGCTAAGATAAAATAAAAGACAGAGCGTTGAATGGCAGACAGACGTGTACTGAAAAATTCTAATAATATTTTTCATATAGAGAACAGTCAATTTATTATACTCTTCTATAGTAGTGCAAGTCTTCTATAATAGAACCTGCGTTCAGACTTGAACAACATTCATAGATTCATCTTCATTAATTTGTAGTAAGGACACACTTTATTCGGATGGTCCTTTCAACATAAAACATCATCACCATTTCAATCTGCAAGCGAATGATGCAAAAAGCATCGTAAACAAAAGTGGAGTCCATAAAAAATACAACGAAAACATCAGCAGCACCGCTGGGCCGTGCAAACAGAGCGCTAGACCCGACCACCCGACTAATGGGAACGCATCCCATGCATCGCGCGCCAAATTTTAATGCAAACCGTTTTATATTCGTTCCAATGCGCGCAAATCCGAATTGATCATAATTCGATTTGGTACAAGAGATAATTGCAACTGCCACTGGCACTGATTGGGCGGGCGCAGTAAAAAATGCGTCGCAACCATTCATTCGCGAGCGCAGAGGCCACGCGCGCTTGCAATCATACGCGAGCTTTGTTTGCCCATCGCCGACTGCTGATGATGTTTGCTCACCTTTATATTCCTTCATTTACATTCCACTGACCCGAGCCAAGGCAGAAATTATTGGTCAACAGGGTTGATTGAAAAATAGTGCCTTCCAATGTCTGAAGCCAGACTTTAGGCAAGTTTCTTTCCTACGAAAGTAACGAAGTATTGGAAACATTTCAGTTATTTTTTTCGTAATTAGACACGCTGATGGACGTTATTTAATTTTAAGATATTAATCCTCCCATCATAGGTATTAATTACGTAGAAACCTATTTGTATGTTCACAGAAATTCGAATTTAAATTTATTTTAATTAATAAAATCACCACACAGTAATGTTTTAATGTACATTTAAAACAACGTTGTAGCGCCAAGACAAAGAAATAAATCAGTCTCCAGCCCAACAAATACACGTCCTATGTAACAGTCTCTCGCCCACCAGTCTACGTAAATTCGCCTTGGCAATGAACATAACAAACGTTAATGACCCAATAATCTTCAAGAAAGTATTAAAGCATATTAATGTTGCATGGTATACTAAACACATACCAAAATATGCTGACCAAAAGAGTGTAAGCAACATGCACTTTTTGGGACTTTTGTCTGATTATAAATATTTTTAATACTTTTATTATCTTGTGTCAAATAAATAATTGGATTTATTAGTGACAAAAGTAGATTTTTTTAAAATAAATTATACCTACAATAACGACAATATAAAATATCAATAGGGGTGATGAGGGGGTACAGTAAACGAAATTCTATTAGTCCGTCAGTTAGATGATCAAAAAATAATGGACACGTATTTTTTCTTTGGGCAATCAACCAAAAAATTACAAAGTTATAGCGCGTCAAAGTTTGGGAGCAGGGGCTCGTGACGTCACTTTTTAGTGAATTTTTACTTAAAAGTGTACTAAAACGTGACGTCATGCGACTTTTCAAATCAATGTATCTCTGCAATGTTTATATTATGTGAAAAAAGAAAAAATACGTTCCAATACTTTTTGATAATCTACCTGATAAACGAAGAAAAAAAATAGTCATCATCCCTATTGATAAAACTTACAGTTTGCTTAAATAATGCAAGTTGCTTAGAATTTTTTCTACAAAAACATCTAGAAAGATGACTCAATGGATTTGTTGTACCTATATAAAATAAAGAATGATTCTATGCATTATTGTAGCAAGAAACTAAAGAGCGCGAGCCAAATTCCTTCAATTTAAAATAGCATTAATTTTATACTTGGCCTAAAAAAACATCACGAGGTTATTAACCAATAAAATAATTATGTATATTTTACTTAGGTTTTTCATGTTATACTCTGTTCCACCTTGTTCAGGAATGGCCAAACAAAAATACTTCGGTGGGGTCAAACCATAATTTTAAACAATATAAGATTTTCTATTCAGTACTTTAAAATCTTAAAAGCACAATAGACTAACTGTAAAATTACATGATCTTTTACTAATCTATAAATCATCTTCCAATATTTGGTAGATTTTATTTATAAAAAAACGGGCTAAGTGCATATCGTGTCACGCGTCGTGTAGGGTTCCGTAGTTGCTCGTCGTCACCATAATATATTTTAGAAAGAGTCTATATTTTTAAAGCAATTACTTCGTCTAAATCACTTTTAATGTTTTCTTATAAGGTTTTTTTATTAGGTCATTAATTTTCTAATACATAAGTTGAACGACTATTTCTATTAAAATAACAGATCTATTTTAACCGTTATAATTTTTGTTAAAAGTTTATGAAAAGCATTATTTTTATGCATTTTCCAGGGTTTTCAAGTCAATAGTTTAGCTTTTAGAGGGGGGGGGGGTGTCCTATACGAACACAAATTAATAAAATTAGCACTCAATAATTTTTAAGTTAATATTTTGCAAACGGATCCCTAAATCGAAAAATAGTCTTACGAAACCCTACGTAATTTTAAAGGACCTATTAAACGATACGATGAAAAAATAAAATCATGTCCAGGATACAGGTAGGGGAGCTACCCTAAAAAAATATTTTATTCAAAGATTTATTCTACTATTTTGTCGGCATGATAGATATACATAGCTCTAAAAAATTACAGCTCTCTAGTGCTGGTGTAGTCTAGTGTACAGTCTCCAAGCAAAACCGGGGATGGACATATACACGGACATGAAGAAACTATAAGGGTTCCTTATAGTTAGGGATAGGGATAAGGAAATAAGGGACTACGGAACCCTAAAAATTATTTTGTTATTTATAACTGTATTTACTTACATACCGTAGCTGTTTTAACTTCTTTTATAGCACATTTTTTTGTCTACGTGACGATCCTAATGAGTTCTTCCTAACTATCCATTTATCGAATATCACAATATGTCACTACATATCATCGTGTAGCTATGTATTTACGTATTGTTCTAAACCTATCTGCTTAAAATATATGATATCATTTATAAGTGGAAGTACGTACACACGTCACAGTAATGTAGACTGGGAGATGCATTTCTGTAATATAAATAAAAAATATTAAAATAAATATTTCCGACACTCACACCAATTAGCCTAGCCCCAAAGTAAGCACTGTCAGGCTTGTGTTATGGGATACTAGGTTAACGGATAGAATACATATACAGTACATATATAAGTACATTTATATAGAAATACATATTAAACATCCATGACTGGAGTACAAATACTTGTATTCATCACACAAACATCTGCCCCCACCGGGGTTAAACCCGGGATCTCTCGAGTCGGAGACACCATGAAACCCGGCGTACAAACCACTCGGCCATGGAGGTCGGTAATCATCTTCTGTTGACTGCTGACTAATTTGTAACATACATTTGAGTGACTGTATATTTACAAACACGTCAATTATAACACATTGTTACACATCTCGCTGTAATTTTCTGTTATTTTAAACTCAACAGTTGCGATGGGATTGTTTTGCATGAGGTCGTGTTGTTGGTACGCAGTAGATGACATTGACGGAAGATAAATTGGTGATGGGTGGATCTATGCCAATGCCCTCGTGTGTGAATGCAAGCGCAGCTGTGAGTATATCTTATGGGTGCTCCCCCGCATTCATGTTTAATATTCTTAGAAATGCATTATACATATTTTATTGTACATACAGTGTTCATGTACTGTATGTAATTTAATATTACTGGTCGACATGTTTAAATCGTTGTAATAAACATTCCAAACGCTAACATTATCTTTGTTTCTAATGGGCAATTTTATAAAATGTTATGCTTACAACATATGTGCATTATATATACTTTTGTCCCGTTAAACATTGGAATTAAAGAGAGATAAACATTAATTTTCTAAGTCGTGGAAGGTCGACCATAACAATCCTCTTTGAACTATTTTATAACGCGGTTTATGTTAAGCCGTTATTGGCATCCAGTTGGGATAATTGTTAGTACAGTAATAAGAAATAGTCGGTACTACTTATTTAGGCGACATTCTCGTACCTCCACAGCCTTAAAACTGGCAAATTCTATTAATAAGAAAATCACAAAAAATCAGCAATATTTTATTTGACAGAATCATAAATGTGAACTGGTAAATGCTTTCTTATTCGACTTAACACACACATATCACAGTCAACTCGCGACAATGCTATTCATCATAATGATTTAAATAGCCATTAGCGAGTGATGTGACAAGGTATTTGGCTTCACTATAGTTAATTATTTGATATAATTATTAGTAATATTTCATAATTTTGAGGCAGGTTCCAATGATATAACTAATGACTTCAATCATTTTCTATTTTCGGATAAGTATATTGGAACTATGCATTATTTATAGTTGTGCATAAAACCATTTATAAATACGTAGGCTAGGCCCGTCATTGACAAGTTTACATTGGAGTATTTCATGAACTATAGCGAACATCAGATAGAAATGGTTACAGACCCTGTCTCCCAATAGGTAGAGTAAGCCTAACATATTTCAGGAAATCCACAGTATCAACATACTATTTCTAAATTAAATAAAATATTTCGATCAATTTAGTTTAATTTCGTTATGGGGTATCACATACCAATGACAAAAAATGTGACATCTATAAAGTAGTTACATATATATTATAGTCTACTAGTGCTTTTGATGCTCAACCAA